TTACATGTCTTGTAAAAAAACCAAAAACCAAAACACAAAAAACCTAATATAGATAAGAATGATTTGTTGATTTGAAATCCATGTATAAGCAAATAGTCCAGTGAAACTTAAGTTCAAAAGTTTTTTTTTTTTTTTTTGTCTTGTGGGTGTAGCTGTGTCAATGTGCCTAATTTATAATAACATTGAGTCTAGTAGGTTAGATATTAGATATAAATTTAGATGTAAGCAGTAATAAACAGTAATGCCTAAACTGAAGTTTATAATCTGAATCTTTATGAGGACCAATTTATATTATTGTGAAAAACTTAGAAACTGATTTGAAACATGAATACGATTCATATGTGTGTATATAGTTTTCAATAATTACCAGCAGGAAATTTTAATGGATGATATAAGTGGAATAACTGCAGGTGAAACTTGGCTGGATAATATAAGTGTAATGACTTCGCTGGATATAAGCATAGTGACATCTGTGCACCAAAGGCACCTGGGAGATTTTTTAAAACACAGGCCAGACATGCCCTGCTGGCTGCAAACCTCACTGTCAACAAGTGTCGGGATGGGACCTGAAAAGCCATAAACATTTCATTTCATACATAACACAATGATTTTAGTTATACCTGTATTTTTGGTAGCACCTGGTGCACACATAATAGATTCCCAAATGTTAGCTGAATGAATTGCGTCGTAGAAATCAATTTCGCTAAGTGTATATTTAGAACTAGACAGTATGTGGATAGTCTGTGCTCATATCTTTGGCTTCTCACCACCTCACAAGGGGCACCAACACCTACAGCTATCCTACGAACTCATTTTTCTGAATCTCCCTCACTTCAGATCCAATTCTTATTTCCTGTTCATTCTTTTGCAATGGCATTCTGGATTTGCCTTGAGCAGCCAAATGGGCATATGGCTACCAGCTCTTCTTTGTGAGAAAAATTCATAACTAGAATCTAATTAATTGTATCTTTCCTGTTCAAATCGATGATGCCCTTTATTATCTAAAAAGAAAAGATTTGTGCTTTTATTTTGCGTTTTGGGACCAAGGATGATTTGGTTCAGTGGCCTGGAAAGGAGAAAACAGTGAATACAAGACTAGGGAATTTTTTCTTGGCCAACCAGTAGGAGAGACTCCTTAGTTTCAATCTGGATTGCAAGGACTGAATGTTAAGCCCTTCCTCATCTATTATTTTCCATGTCTTACAAACAAAATGATATACTAGAGATAGGATTTAACTTTAGCTCCCTAAGTCCCCAATAATAATACAAGGGTTGAGGGAGAAAACCTGAGTACATCCAGGGAGGTGCTCAGTTCTAATCAGCTACTTTCTGTGTATTTAGAGCATAGTCCACATACCATGGTTTGGATTTACTGCCATGACTGTATAGTCAAGCTTTGCTCCTTCAGACATATTGCTCCTGGGACACATACACATCCAGAGTAAAAATCAAACAGAATGGGTTTTGAGATTTCTGATCTTGCCTTACTATGTTGTAAATAAGAAAGTCAAGAGAGATTCAGAGAAGTTGTTAGGTTAGGCAGTTCAATTGGACTGATAATGACAGATCTAGGACTTAAATTGGCCATCTTATTCTTTCACCCTCTAATCCAATATTTGGAGTGATTTCATGCCCATGTAGATGACTCATCTTGCATCTGAGCCCCTCATTCCTTAAATCCTTCACCTGCTGTGACTTTTGCACTGATCTCACTCCTTCCCATGGAGCAGCTCATCATCTAGAACTGTCCACATCTGAAATATCTTGGTCCTTAAGTACAGACCTTGTTTTTCTTTTTTCATTTAGTTCCTCTTTCTCTGGTCCTTAATGGTTATAGGGGCTTTTTTTCCCCTTTGTGCCTTTATTTTCTCATTTTTGACCACCCCTGCCCCCCACAGTGTTCCCTTTCTTCCCTGTTAGATTCCATGACCCATCTAGTCAGCCACTCTTCGTTACTCATATCCTCAACTCCTTTTATTTATTGGTTTTTATTTTTGCACTTATCTGACAAAAATGCAACTCTGAACATGTTTGCTTTCTTCATGCTTCCATCAGGGTTGATAAAATCCAGTGGAGAAAAGGCAGATTGATAACTTCATCACAGTCATTCTCAAAGTGTGATCCCTAGACCAGCAGCATCGGTATAATTTAGGAACATGTTAGAAATACAGATTCCTAGAGCCCTCTTCAGCATGCTGAATCAGAATCTCTCAGAATGGGACACAAGAATCTGTGTTTTTATAAAGTTCTCTAAGTAGTTCTGATATACCTTGAAGTTTGCAAATTACTACTCTATTAATTCTTGATCTTTAACCTTAACTGGCTACTAACACTGCCAATCTTTTTGTTTTCTAAATTAGTAATCTTTAGTGTTTTCCAGACGCCTTTTCAAATCTTGTTCATTCCCTTCAACTCTGTGATGGTGCCTGTGTCTCCTCATTCCCCAGAGGTTATCACTCTCTAACTTATATTAGTTTGTGCTTGAACTCCCTCAAACTCCTGCCACAACATCCTCAGACTAACCACAGTCACCTGCAGTGGAGGAGTCTTCATGTCTATATGCTTCTGCTCTACATTTCTTTCCTTTCAGCATTGACAACCTTCTCCCTTTCTCTTCACAAAGTTCCGTCTCTCTATTGGCATCCTTCACCTAATCTCCTCACAGCTTACATTCACACTCTTTGGTGTTTTGATTCTACATGTGATGAAAACATTGTAGGGATTTAAGCAAGGAAATGGCATTATCTGACATATAGTTTATAAAGATTTTTACCCTTCTGTGGAGAATGGGTTGCGTGAGGCAAGAGTTGAAGCAAGAAAAGCATTTTAGATATTACAGAAAACCTGAAGAGGGGATGGTGGTTTGGGACAGGGTACTTGTCATGGAGTCATAACTAACTTTGGGCTGTGAGTTGGAAGTAGAGTTAACAGGGATAAAGGTGGAGGTCAAAGATGATCTCAGTCTTTTGGTTTTAATAATTATGTGAATGGTGATGCTGTTTACCAGAATGAGGAAGCCTGGGAAAGAATAAGATGACTGGAAAAAAATCAAGTCTGTTTCTGGCCATGTTAAGTTTCAGTTGTTTATTGGAGATGTATGTGGTGATAGGCAGCTCAACATTTGACTCTGGGGTCCTAAGAAGAGATCAGGGTAGAAATGTGGATTTAGGACTCTTTGACCTATAGGTAGTATTTAATGCTCTACTATTTGGTGAAGACACCTTGGGAAAGAGTGTGGAAAGAGAATACGGCCTAAGACAAAGCCCTGAGCTAACCCAATATTTAAAGTGGGAGTATGGAGGGAAAATTTCTAGTACAGGAAACTGAGCATGAGCAACTGATAAATTAGGAGAATTTCTCAGAAGAAGGAAGTGGTCAGGTATGCAAAATTCTGCTGAGAAAGAAATTAAAATAAGAACAGAGAAGTAATCACTGTAAATGGCAACTTGAAGGACCCCAGAGAGCTTGAAAAGTGTAATCACAATGAAATGCTGACAGCAGAGGTCTGATTAGAATGAGTTGAGGAAATCATGTTGAATTTGTCCTGCCAAATCATGTGCTCCTGCCTAAAGAGAAGCTGGTACATTTGTTTGTTCTTCACTCTAGTCCTTAATCAATAGATTCCTTGAAATCAATGTGAGTCTAAGAACAGGTGCTTAAGTTCTGCAAACTGATGCAGACTTTGGTAGAAATAGGGGTGGTTGTTAAAAGCTCATATTTGAAAAGTTTAAATGAAGGTGCTGACTGGCACAGTGGCTCACACATGTAATCCCAGCACTTTGGGAGGCCAAGGTGAGCAGATCACTTGAGGTCAGGAATTAAAGACCAGCCTGGCCAACATGACAAAACCCTGTCTCTATTAAAAATACAAAAATTAGTCAGATGTGGTGGGTACCTATAATCCCAGCTACTTGGGAAGCTGAGGCAGGAGAATCACTTGAATCCGGGAGGCGGAGATTGCAGTGAGCTGAGATCACGCTACTACACTCCAGCCTGGGTGACAGAGAAAGACTCTGTCTCAAAAATAAATAAACAAAAAGTAATGAAGGTGCCATGAGTTCTAACAGATCTGGCATGTTAAGTCAATATAGAATCTATAAAATTCAGCTGTCTTTGAAACTATTGATAAAAGAACTACTATGACAAGATGAGTTAAGTAACAATAGGCACAGTATTAAAACAAACTGGAATTTGATTTTACCTGGGATAAGCCAAGTTTAATATGATCAGTCCATAGATATTTGGAAGTTGGCAACATATACACACACACTTGCGCACATGTCATTTTTTGTTATGTCCTTTGAATAGTATATTTAATTTCATGGTTGATAAAACATGAGAAATATCCTCATCAGCATACATTTACCAAGTAAGTCCGTGATGTGGTTATGTAGGAAAGGACGTCTGGAAATGAGCAGTATAATGATTACAATATTGGGAAAATAAAACCTATAAAGAAGCGGTTCTTAGCCAAATTCTCAAATCATAAGAACTGATTATCAGGTAGCACAGGCATTGAAAACGGTCAACTGGCCATCTACTAAAGTGCCATCTTAGGGAGCACCCTGTAGAAAGGACTGCTGGCTGTACAAATAGTATAAATAATTATCAGTTAATAAAACAAGAAGGGGACCCAGTATCTTCCAGTATACTGTAGTTTGTTACCAGGATATTATATCTGTGTACGGTTCACTTGCAATTGCCTAAATGCAAGATCCCTTTTGCAGTGGAGCATTTTGGAGGGAAAGTTTCATTTGGCACTTTAAATATACCTAATCTCTTCTATGGTATTTATTTTGCTTCTTCATTTATATCTTCCTAAGTTAGCAATAAAGTATTGAGCACTTACTATGTGCAAAGCACTATACTCGTGTTTTCTTAAATATATGTATATGAGAAATAAGCCCCAAATTATTTAATTCTTATTTTAGAATGAATGAGTTGCTAACATGCTGGTGTTGTTACCCAAAGGGTGTGGATACCAAATGTTTAGTTCCTACCAGCTCATGACCCCCATCTTCATCGAAGTCCTCCTCTATCCCATCTGTCATCTCTTCTCCATCGGCATCTGGCCCTCCTTCAGCAGGCTCCTCTGTAGAGTGATCTGCATTCTCTGACACAGATTCCTCTTGGATCAGCACTAGACTCTCTTCCAATTGCTTCTTCTGAGCTTCTGGGGGGGAAAAAGCAAATGACTACTACCTTGGGTTGCTCATGAGCCATTTGGATAAACCATGAAAAAACAATCCATGAAAGGGTAAACTCTTTGTGTTATTAAAGGTGTACAGAAGGTAAGGTAATACTATGCTTTAAGTTGAATTTTCTCAGTCATGTAAATCATGTACATATGTGTATGTGTACTTACATGTAAGCATATTTATTTTAATGGAATTAGCAAAAATTAAGGAATCCAGTTGGTAGTGGTACATAAACTAGTAAGATTTAATTTTATACATAGTGCTTTCTAATAAGGATAGTCTCTCTGAGAGGAAAATAGAACAAAAAAAAAAAGGGGGGAAAATCAACATAGAAATTGTTCACTCAAGGGAAGAGGAAGAAGAAAGCTCAATGACAAGTTCAAACCTGAGTGAAAAAGACAAAACTCACTGAGGAAAAAAGTGGAAAAGAAAATATATGGTTTCTCAGCAACATCTATGTGAACAAGCCCCTGAAATTTTAAAGTCTAAATTCTGTTGACAGGTGTGGTTAACTTCAATAGTTAAGGACATAAATTCTGGGGTCAGACAACCTGAGTTCAAAGTCGAGCTTCATTAACTAATAGCGTTGTGGTGTTGTGCAAAGTCAAAATGATTAACCCTCCCTGTGTCTCAATTTTCTCATCCATGCAAAAAGGATAACTATTTCCTAAACTTTCAGGGTTTGGTGTAGTGCATCGGAGTGTTAGTATAGTGACTAGCAAATAATAAGTGCTCAATAAACAAAGCTACACTCTACATTAGTAGAATTTCTTCTAGTTGTCAGGATCTGTGCATTCCACTTACAGAAAGCTGCTCAAATGGGAATTGCGCTGGCAGCGTCATGATTATTTTCTCTAGCGGGTGGTGGCATTCATCTCCTCTGATGATATAAAGAAGTGTTGGGCTTCCAATAAATTAGATCATCATATGTTCCTCCTTCTCTGACTTATTTTCTTTTTTTTTTTTCT